TAGAAACTTTAGTGCATGCATTTGTTACGTCTCGTTTAGATTACTGTAACAGCTTGTTGTATAAAATACCCGACAAATCAATAGCTATTTTGCAGTCGGTTCAGAATAGAGCTGCAAAGTTGGTTGCCGGTAAATTGAAGTTTGACCACGTTACGCCAATTTTGAATGATCTGCACTGGCTGACAATTGATAAAAGAATAATTTTTAAAATTGGTGTGATTATGTTCAAAGCATTGAATGGAATGTCACCGGATTACATAACTGATAAATTTACCAGGAAAGAATCAACTTCTGGTTTCCATCTTCGATCAGATGATATGAATCTCTTGAGGGTGCCAGTGGCGTTTTTACAGATTGGTTCGCGTGATATTGCAATCGCTGGTCCTACTGTGTGGAACAATCTCCCTGCACCACTAAGAAAGCCTGGGCTTCATCTTCGAGCATTTAAAAAAGATTTAAAGACATTTTTATTTTTGTTGAAATTACATTGAATTCTGTACTACTTGATTTTGTACTATTTTGTTTGTCACGTATATAATTGCTTTATTTTTGAGAGCGCCTGTGAGAACATTTAATGGGCGCTCTAGAAGTTATCCTTAATAATAATAATAATAATAATAATAATATATATATATATATCTGTATCTGTATTTATGTTATTTATTACTTGCTATTTTATTCCTTTATTAATTAAAGTTTTGTGTGGTTATTTTTGAATGATAAGCACGGTTGGCATAATGAATGACATTGAAGTTAAATAGTGGAAGCATGGAGTTTGTTTAAAAGATTCACTTTTTTTTATAAATATTTATTTTTATGTATATATATATATATATATATATAAATAAACTGGCTGATGTAATTCCATTTTGTATTTCTTTTATGATTAATTTATGCTGATGTATGTACGTGTGTGTGTGTGTGTGTGTGTGTGTGTGTGTGTGTGTGCGTGCATATGTTTGTGCACGTATGTATGTGTGTATATGTATTTATGTTACTCATTATTCATTATTATTCCTATTATTGGTTAATATTTGTGAAGTTATGTCCGGACGATCTGCATGATTGTCTTAATAATGTAATTTATAAACTTAATAATTTATGCATATGTAATTTAATTTTTATGAATATTTGTTTTCATGTATGTATAAATATGTCATCTAAATGATTGAAGGTTTTGGTATATGTGCACATTAATATTAAGTAATTTACCTAAATATTGCATTATATAGTTGCATTTTCGGGGTGTTTGTACGTTATTATATGCTTGGTATGTAATGTACACATTTTACTTAATTGTATGGTTGGTTAATTATATTGCTTTTTTTCTTCTGTTGGGGGCATAGGATCGTTCAGTTTGCACCCTTTTATAATAAACTATTATTATTATTATCATTATCACAATCATCAATTCTGTAAACACACCACCACCATTATCATCGTTATCACCATCAATACCAGCACTTGCTCCTCATTTCAAATGATTACCCTACATACCTATCTCACTCGTACATCAGTGCAGATCGCACTGGAACATCGCATGCAAATTGCGTCGTTTCCTTACTCGGCATCTGCACGCTCTCTTCCTTCCGTTAGTCCTCTTTACATCGTTATTGGCCTTTTTCCATTCATCGCAGTGTTTGTATACATCAACATAATTTATACACACCACACGCACACACACACACCACACACACACGCACACACACACACGATTTTGTCGAAATGCATACTTTGTATACATTTATACGTTGTTGAATAAGCTCAGACCCATAGCTAATACAAACATTATTGCCGGCTTATTCCATTGTTCCATGCTATTGACTTGTTGTCGTCATCTTCTTCAGTCTCCATTCAATTGTTTCCATCTTCATTTGAATATTTGCTTCCACGAACCTTTTTAATCATTGCTTTTCGGCAACACGTTGCATCGTCGTCATGGTTGTAGCTTCAAACGTCACAAAATTGCAGCAACGCTAAAAGAGGACGTCACCTTCATTTGCAAAGTATCTATAATTCTAATTTTTCATCACTACTATCATCATTATCATTTTCATCTTCGCCATCATCGTCATCATCACCACCATCATCATCATCGTCATCATAATCACCATCATCATCTAATTATGGCTATCTTCGTCGTCGTCATCATCATCATCACGGTAAAAAAATGCACCAGAAAATAATTGCTGGTAAGCTCATTGTTGCATAGCCATCCACCTACTACAAAATGTTTACTTTGATTCCATTATTAATAACAATAAATCAGTCCAATGTTTCCTTTACTGGTTTACGTTTCTTATCTGTTCCCCTGCTATTGTCGTCGTTAATGTAACGTTGCATTGATGTTGTTGTAGCTCTTTCATTGATGCTGTTGTAATTGTTATCAGACTTGTAGGAAACATTCACTTTGATGTAATCATGCTCAGAGTCGATGTATTTCTTGTCGTTATTAATGGTGTTAGTGTTAATAATAATAATATTACTATTATCATTGCTGTTGTTGTTGTTATAAGTGTTGTTTTTTTTGTTTCTGTTGTTTCAAATCTAAAGAGCGGGCTCACGCTTCAATAAAGATACGACCTGCAGTTTTTTTTACAAAAGTTTGTATATAAACCTGCGTGCATATGCATAGAGCCTGCGAAGACGAACATTTATAATGCCAAAGGTTGGTTTAGGCACGATGATTCTCATTTTATTAGATTCAATTGTTTATTTGTGCTTGACTTATGTAAATAACAATTTAAGTTTTCGTTAATGTAACTCGTGTGCATTGTTGAATATTTTTTTAAAATTAATTAATTTATTTATTTATGTATTTTGGTTTTGTAAGTGAGAAACAGAAAGTTGTTCCCAGTTTTTGGCTACTTCAATGTCTACCCACTTATCGTTCTAATTGAGTTACCAAAGATTAAAATTAATCTGAACGATGTCTGAAGCGCAGTGTACTAAAAGCAGCAAAAATGTTAGTAAATCGTTAACAAGCGGTTTTAATTGTAGTTGCTTTCAATGAATGTTTTGTTCGTACAAAATGTTTGAAATTACGTAACGACATCTTTCCTATTGTAATTAGTATGATCAGTTCGAATCATTTCTAAGATGGTTGATGGGGTTTATTAAAAGTTTAAATCAAGAAGAGTGTTTGGCGCACTCATTCGGAGATAATTTATAATGAGATGATGAAACAAAAAATAGTAAACTCAAATATTTCTTGTTCACGCCGTGTCAAATTCTAGAAAACGTTTTGCTAGAAACAGAAAAAATTCAAAATGTTGACACAATTCAGCGTAGTCTTCTATTGTGAAATTTTTTTGTCATAGTAACAAGCTAAATAAAACTTGTCAAAAAACTTTGATTGTATCTAACAATGAATAGAACGTAAAAGCAATATATATATAATCAATCTAAACAAAAGCAAATATGATAAAGAGGAAGTTGTCAATGCAGTGCGTAATGAAGTGCCTTGTTGGCGACGCCTTGAAGAGCAGCGAATTTTTTGCGATCAATAGCCAAGGTCGTAAAAATGAAAACCTTACATGACACTGTTAAGTTTGGCAACGTTGCGTTAGTATTTCTTTTGTCACTCTTGGTATTACAAGCGTTTCATCAAATAAAATTGGGTCGATTGAAAATAGGTTAAATAAAATAAAAATGACATATGACCCAAAGCCTAAGCAAGTGCTGAACTCGAATCGGTAGAAAAAGATCTAAGAGCCGAAAAAAACAAATTTGTTGTTCTAGATCAAATATTCGATCGGGCGGTGAAAAATTGTCAAGTTCGATTTTTAAATGTTGATTGTACAACACGCGATGTATCAAAACCTGGCGTCGTCTATAGTTAAATTACAATAACTATTATTGAATTACAAAATCCTGGCCAAATTTTTTGAAAAAGATACAATTTTTTAGTCATTCCAATAAAATTTGTTTTTGAAATTTCAAATGTGCAAGGTTGATTGATTTCAACTATAAACAAATGTTTAGTTTCAACTATTTTGTGCCTAACTTAAGTGATGACAGAAGGAAAGTTGTTGAGAAAAATCGTTTTTAGTCCTCCAACAGAATCAATTTTGAGCAATATATTATTGGCACACTTATTCCATTTTACTGTTGAGCGTCGGCCCCTTTTCTGAACATTTTGGAGGTCCAGTTGGGTATTTTTTGTCCTAGTTTGTCAAACCTATTGCAACCTTCTCTAAAAATATTTAAGTGATGATTTCTCTATTATGGTTCTACACAATGTTAAGTTAATAGTTTTTTTTAGATAATTTGTATAGGCAAAACAATGTATATCAATTATTTCAAAACCTCGTCTTTTTAAACAACATTGTAAAACTTATTTATTGTCTGATAAACGGCGATTTTTGCAACTATAGTTGTTTTAACCTTATCCAAATCTTATTTGAATAATTTTTATATATGAGTAATATCAATGATCTGAATAAAACTGTTTTTGTATGTATGTATGTATGTATGTATGTATGTATGTATGTATGTATGTATGTATGTATGTATGTATGTATGTATGTATGTATGTATGTATGTATGTATGTATGTATGTATGTATGTATGTATGTATGTATGTATGTATGTATGTATGTATGTATGTATGTATGTATGTATGTATGTATGTATGTATGTATGTATGTATGTATGTATGTATGTATGTATGTATGTATGTTAAAACCAAAACATGATGAGTGACACTGAACCGTCAAACATCAAGTAACAAATGGATTAACACTTTGATTTGTCGTTAATTGCACATGTCGGCATTCAGTTGGATATTTTCAAGCACACAGACACGCAGGAACCGCTGCAACAAGCACGAAATGTGGTTGGTTGCAAAAAACAGTTCCCTGCTGTCACCTGATCTGACACTGATCATTTTGCCTATTTCCTTAAGAAATTTAAGGGTGTTGGGGTCCATCGGGCCGAGAACCTCGATGCATATTGGCAAGAATTCCATAGAGGGGAGGGCATTCCCATATTTCTTCATTTTCTCGTCCGCTGCCCTGGCCGCGGCCAAACCGCATTCTTTACTTGTCAGGTTTACGTATCGTTCGGCGAGGGTGCCAGGGACCGTAACATCCCACGCCAAACATCTGCCGGCTCTCCAAGGTATTAGCGTGCATCCGTCCGGTCGCCTACCATCATGCGCAGAAATGCCGGATGGTTCCTTGAGAACCGGGATTGAAGCCTTGGAGAAGAGCCGACAAATGTAATCGTTTAGCGCTGAGTGACGTAGTTGACGGCCCCCACCCAGGCGACAAACCAAACCGTGGTGCCCAAACTCGTCCGCCTCAGCGCCACATCGGCACGTGTATTTATTCTGAATGACCAGGCCAAGTCTGAAGCCAATGGCAAATCTTACAGACTCGTCGTCAAGCCTGGTGCCCACAGAGGTGTTAGGCCACGATCTCAACCACCCACAGCTGGCAACGCTGGACATGGCCAACAAACGAGCGGTGGAAAAGTCGTCGCCGCATGAAGACAACAAATTTTGAAAGATTTTTTTATATTCTTCGTTCAAAATTTGGACGTGCGTACGGTCCCCCGGGGCGGACGCTGGGGGAAGAATATCGCGGCAACGAAAAAACCGGTGGAGCAGGGAAGACTGTAGGTCGAGAGTGGCAGCGGCAGAAGAATTATAAACAACGGGAGCCAACTGAACCACGCTAAGCAACCCCAGCCCACCAAATCGCACCGGCAGCTGAGCCTGGGACCAACCACTGTCGGTCACTTGAACATTGCAAATCGACGACAGGGCGGTGCGCAGGGCTCCGTCAAATTCGCCCAATTTAGAAGGGTCAATGTGTTTAGATGTACGCAGGAAGTACATCAATTTGGGCAAACTGAGGGCATTGCGGATAATAGTCAAGGCATCATGGGCCGAAAGACAGGAAACACGACCCAGGGCGAATTCAAGCTCAGAGAGCTTTTGGTCAAAAAACTTTATTTGATAATCGCTCTCGACCAAGGGTGTGCCTAAAAAACTCAGTTCTGATGCACCAACTCTGGGTATTTCAGCCAGCGCATGTGGCACCTGAAATAAACTTTGGCAGTGAAGTTTAACTCTAAGCCAATTGCAGCGGAGTTATGCTTCAAATATTCGTAGCTATCGGCCAGAGTTGGACCGTCCGAAGCTATGCTGATATCATCCAGATAAGCGCAAACGAAGGTGGACGAAGCTTTCTCTAAGAGTGGATGAAGAGTTAGTGCGAACAACAAAGGACCAAGGGGATCACCCTGCTGTACCCCCTCGGACGATTCTACAACCCAAGAGTGGTAGCCAAGGGAAGAGACTCCGCCATAAGCAGAATGGCAAAAATTATAGATGTTGGGGCAAAAAAGTTTGACAGCCTCCAACATCGAGTCTCTTCTCAAGGCATTGAAGGCATTTTTAAAGTCCAGTTTCAGAAACCCCCATTGATCGGGGAGGTCGGTGACCAATCTTCGAACCGCATGAACAGCGGCCTCAGCGCCACCCTTAATCCCGACACCCAACTGAGTCGGGTAGAACTTGGTCTTGAGTTCGACCACGACCAGGGCCAAGGCACATTTGCCGGCCAACCTCCTCCAAACGTTCCCGACCGCAATCGGTCTGACCCCTCCGTCTTTCTTATTTAAAGCTATTAGCCGGCCTCCAAAAAAGAACCGGCGGACGGAGAGTGGGCAAGCTCCAGATAGGATCAAATTAATGAATTGGGTTAAGGAGTTCAGTGTGTCGTCAATTGGCAAGGGGCCTGAAAAAACATCCTTAAGGTGCTGGGGTCGTAGGCCATCCAGGCCTCCAGAAGAACCCATTTTGAAAGATTTAACGGCCCTCAGCACCTCGGCGGGAGAAACGCAACCAGCCGTTGGTGTCAATGTGGGAAAGACCCGCCTGTCCACCGAAATTTTTGGGTGGATAGAACATAATTTATCGAAGGTGGCCGGCGAGCTCTCCGCCAGGCCCTCCGGCGAGCAGACAAGTCTGACCGCCGAGGACAGGTTTCCCTGTTCAATACAAGATGACACAGCGTTGATCCATCGATCGGGGTTGTGCTTTTGTGATTTGGCATTATTGAACCCATCAAAGCACAGTACCAGGGTTTCAAGACCAATAGTTTAATATTCGCTTAGACGCTTGTTGACCAGATTGCCCTGGTTGACCCGGCGACCTCCTCTGGAAGTCTTCTGTAAGACGTATGGGACAAAACAGTGGAGTCTAACCCAGTGAGCCGGGTCACCAGGGTCGTTACAAACAGCCGTCAGCAAGGCGTTCAGATCATGTGCGAACTTTTCCCTGCATGGCTTAGGGATATGGTCGTACACCGGTACACATTTCAGCACGGCCGTCAGCTTATCAAAAACACCAGAGTAATCCAGGCCGAGAGGATCACCGGAGACCGATGCGGCGGACGACCGTGTGGGCAGCCCAGGCCTGGGGTCGGGTGCGGCACCGAGAGGCGAAGCAGCCCTCGCGCCCGATGGATCAACTTTTTTCCGGGACCCCGAGCATTCCTGTCCTTTCACTTTACCTCAGTGCCGACATAACTTCCCGTCTGGAGTGCTTCTATAGTGGTTAAAGCAGACGGGGCACTGTTGTAACGATTAAAAACAACCAAGAAACGAAGGAAAGGAAACAAACCAAGTGGGGTGGATGGATGAATGAATGGATAAACAAGCGAATGACCAAAGGAACGGGCCAGCGAACAAACGGATAAATGAGTGAATGATGGGGGAATGAATGAACTAATTACTGAACGGACGAGTGAGGGAAAAAAAGAATGAATGAGTGAGTGAATAAATACATGAATGAATAAACAACCGAACGAATGGATGAATGAATGAATACATGAATGAGTGACGGAATGAATGAACGAGCGAACGGATGAATGACTGAATTATCTTTAAATATTTAACCAGTGTTTCAACTTTTATTTATATAATTTTTTTTTCTTTTCTTTTTTTTTTATTGATGAATGAATGAGTGAGCAAATGAGTGAATGAGTGAATACAAAAACCTAGGTAACAGTGTGGGAGGAGACACTATTGCAGCAAACTCTGGCCCAATCTCTCCCTTATAGTTTATTTTTTTTTTATTTTTACACAGATTTTAAAAATTGGTTTAGGAAATTTTTTTTTTATAAATAAATTTTAATTTAAACTTTAAATTTTAATTTCAAAAATAAATTAAAAATAAATGTCGGTAGAAGGTAAATGAGTTAAAATGTAGTGAACTTTCCGATAATAATAAAAACAGCTCACACCTGGCGCAGGCCGGTGACCTGTAGCAGCTATGAGCTGTGAATAAATT